TGCAGCCCTGGCCTCCGCCGCGCCAAGCCGTCGCCGTCCGAGGATGGGCCGGCCTCCCGCCGCCTGCAGCCATCCGCCGCGCCGCAGATCCCAGATCAGTCACGCCACCACACGCCTTGGGGTCTGCCCCATCCCAGAGACGCGCGAGAGAGGAGATCCCCCGCCACCGCCGTCGGCCCCTGGGCTTAGCCCGGCGGCGGCGAAGGGAGAGGAGGTGGGAGTTTGCGGAGGCGGCGGCTAGGTTTCTGGCCGCCCGAGTCGCCCTAGGTAGCTTACCACATAACTAGTTAAAGCTTGTTTAGTTTTTTTATGGTTTTAAAATTATCAAAAAATAGGAAATAAATAGTGGAATATCACTCCAATGTTATAACATGATCCAACCGGGCGATTGTGACAATATGCATTTACGCACCCTTGGCAGAAAAATCAATCATTTCAACTCAGTGCTACATAAATACATACTCCACTATTTGTTTTCTTTCATCCCACGCATATACACTCATATTTTTCCTATCGGTCCGTTAGAGTTAGACCATCTTATATTATGTGTGTGTTGTTCCAATATCATTTTCATGATTTTTGGTAACTTTTACACCATTGGAACATTAACTAGTTATATGAAACCCGTTGGTTATGGGACGTTTTGCTTATGTTCTAGCCTTTCTAGGCAACCTTGGTTCTTGCCCGTGCTCGGACACGTGTTTCTTCCGCTGCATGAATGTTCTAATGCGTTGGGTCATGTGACCTCTGATTGGTGTACAACAATGTTATCATATTGACACATGTTTGCCCTATTGCTCACCCATATTAAACTCTTCTACTCCCTCCATTCCTAAATATTTGTCTTTCTAGACATTTCAAATGACTACTACATACGAATGTATGTAGACATATTTTAGAGTGTAGATTCACTCATTTTGCTCCGTATGTAGTCACTTGTTGAAATGCCTAGAAAGACAAATATTTAGGAACGGATGGAGTATCTTGTTTAGTAGTACTTGTTGTGATATTACATCTTTGTTCACCAACATATGAAAGTGTGTGTATGTTATGAAGTCATATGATGGGCGATCAATATTCGCTTTTAGCTTGACAAGGATCGCAAAGTCTCTGTTGAGGCTAGGACCGCATTTTTAGCGTTACAAGTTGGTATCAGAGTAGTACCGATCGCAAGTTCCATTTGTTTGTCGATGTCGATTCTAGAAATAAAAATCTATTTTGGTAGTTACTTATTAGGTAGTTTTTGAAGAGTAGGAGTTATTTTTTACCTTTTCCCCCGCCCGTGCTCAAGAAAGTTTGATGTAAGTGTTTTATCTATCATCTTACCTCTTTCAAAAATTATTTAAGTTCTCACAGGTTTCGGAGTTACGATATCAACTGGAATGCCGGTATTTCTTTTGGTGCTCCTGTCCACTGGGTGCATGTGCAACGTTTGCTATCGTTTTAGTTTCATCGATTGAGGACGTGGTTTTCAGAATTGGTTCAATACCATTTGTTGGCAGTAGCCTGGAGTTGTACTCATTATGGCAATTAACATTGAGCATAACTTGAATAGGGACACTAAAATGAATGGAATTTGTTTAACTGATTCCTTAATTGGTATAGTCAAGTCAAGATTTAGATTAGTTAGAACTCCACACTGCTCTCGGAACAAATATTGTCTCCAACAACATCGCAACACGATATATGAATGAAAAAACATCATCGGAACTTCTTAGATTCATCTTGAATATGTGAGGAACATGCTATGTACTTAGGCATGGTTGCCAGCGCCATGCCATCTTGAATATGTGTTTGTTTGATTTGTACCTTTTACATTGAAAATCCGTGCCTAGCTGTTTTTTCATCAAAAAAGAAAACTCAAGACAACACAGATAAAACCAAACCAAAAGCATCAACTGCAACCTGTCAAAGAAAACAAGAGTTGATCACACAAATAAAGAGCAGCGCGGTAAAGCGCACCTTAGCCTCCAAATAGTACTTCCTCTGTCTTATAATATAAGAATGTTTTTGATACTATACTAGTGTTAAAAACGTTCTTATATTTTGGGACGGAGGGAGTACATGTATTATCTTTTTGCGGGAAAATAGTACATGTATTTTTTTTGCATTATAAATAGTATATGTATTATGTCAACACAAAATATTACACACACAGCAGGTATAAATACATATACGGAGTCTAAAAAATATATAAATACATACGCAGCACAGTCCTGGGCTGCCCATTGCTCAAATCTGGGCCACAGGATCACCCCATCTGGACGGACAGAAGGTGACCACGTACTCCTGCGCGTAGCAGCGCGCCGTGGCGGCGGCCACGTCGTACGCGTAGCTGTAGTAGGCCGGGCAGGCATCCCTGAAGAGCCGCGAGTAGACGCTGCTCCGGCACGTCTCCGCGGTGCCGTACGCGCCGCGGCAGCAGAAGGCGTCCAGCCCGAAGGCCAGGCACGCGCTCCTGCACGCCACCACCGTCGCCTTCTTGCCCGCGCCGCCGCTCGCCGTGACCTGCAGCTCCGGCGGGCACACCGCGTTCACGTTCTTGGCGCACCCGGCGATGAAGCAGTCGCCGCTGCGGTTCGCCGGCCTGGTCCACACGGCCACCGGCAGGTTGTACCCGTCCACCACGCTCACGTCGTAGGAGCTCCCCTTGCTCTGGTCCGCGTGCAGGCTCACCTCCACGAGGGTGGCGGGAGGGGCGCCCACGGATCCGTTGCAGGCGAGGCGTCCGTCGCAGTCGCCGGTGAGGCAGCTGGCGGCGTTGGCGTCGGTGCCCGCGAAGTTGCAGCCGGTGCGGCCCCAGAGGCGGCCGTTCCAGGTGGCCGGAGCCCCGACGCGCTTCGACTGGCCCGCAGGGAGGAAGAAGCCACCCGCGGCGAGCACGGGGTGGCCGGCGTTGGGCGCGACCGCCGGCCACACCGGGAACGGGCACTTGTTGGTTACGTGGAACGTGACGCCCCCTGCCATCAACACCGCCGGTCCTGCACCAAAATGAAACGCTGCACATGTTCAGTCCAAACGCAGCAGTCGAGTACCTAGCTAGTCCTTCACCACATTTCACATGCGCACTGATGAGTCACCTGGGAGAGCCAGCAGCAAGATGCAGGACAGAAGCAGGGGATGAGGAAGAGCCATCTCTCGGCTCAGATCTGTTGAGTTGAGGAGGAGACCTGAAATGAAGATGAACTGATATGAAACGAGGTTTGTATAGACTTGCAACTGCGGAGAAGAGGTGAGGATTGATCGAGCCTAATCTAGGACTAGGAGGAGGAACTTTCGGTTTGTGTGACTTGCATTGCAATGGAAGTAAAGCTGAGGCATGATGAGAGCCGAGACACCTGTGCAGAGACCTGCTGGGCCAAGAAAGCTTAGGATTTTTATGCGGATGTTCCCTTTTTCATTGTAATTATCTGTTAGTGCCATCTTTTCTTCAGTGAAATCTGTTACTGTTGTGCAGATTTCATGTGCGTTGCTCTGAACCGATGAAATCCAAGTTGCTAGTAGTAGAATATCCTTCTTAGGTCTGAGACATTCAGCATTTGTTTTTCTTCCTTGGACTTCACATCTATTTAGTCCATGCATCAACATCAATTTTTTCAACAAGATTAGCAGATTCAGTCCGGTCATAGAAAGCTCAACCCGATTCTGAAACTTGGCCTTTAACAGATTCAGACATTGTTGGTTCAAACTTGGCCTCCATCATGTAATTTCCATGCTACAATAACCGAAGGGTGAATCACTGATTGCTCAGAGGATTACATGGCGAGGAACCCATAAACTAAGTTTGGGCCCTGCAACTAATTACAGTACATACTAACACGGTAATTAAGCTAACTCAGTGTTAGTGGCACTGCACCTATCAGATGCTACATCAAGCTAATTAACTCCTCAGCGACACAAAGCCAGGGTGCTCTGCTCCTTTGGGCTTGCTGAACCACCGGTGCTCGAGCGCTTCCGCCGCCGTGATCCTCTCGTCGGGGTTGAAGGATAGCAGGCCGGTCAGGACCTCACGCCCGGCTTCTGAAAGCTCCTCCAAGAACTCCAAATCCAGCTCCCCCGTAGAAGTGATCTGGTCTCGCAGCTTGTAGATCTCGGCGAGCAGCTCCTCCTCTGTCTCCGCCACGAAGAGTGTCGCGCCGGTCAACATCTCCGCCATGATGCACCCAAGCGCCCACATGTCAACGGCCTGGCCGTAGTACCGGTTGCCTTCCAGCTGCTCCGGCGAGGTGTAAATCAGGGTGCCGACACAGCACTCCTCATAGGGCACTCCGGCCGGCTTCGCCCGCATCGCCGACCCAAAGTCACCAACCTTGAGCCCGCCGAAGAAGCCGACCATGACGTTCTCCGGCTTGAAGTCCCGATGGATGACGCCGGCTCCATGTATCTTCTTGGCCGCGTCCAGGAGTTGCTCCATCATCACTCGGGTCGCGTCCTCGGATACAGGCCTCCAGAGCGACTCGCGGAGGGTGCGGCCGTCGGCGACGAGCTCCATGACGAGGAACACATCCCCTGTCTTGGCGTCAGTCGCCACATCCAAGATCTCGATAATCGACTCGTGACCTCGGCACGCCGCGAGGCAGCCGGCCTCGCGGGTGATCGCGCGGATGTCGGGCGGGCCGTGCCCGCCGGCCCCGTTGCCGCGGACCCACTTCACGGCGACTTTCTTGCCGGTGCGGCGGTCGCGCGCCTTGAACACCTCGCCATAGGTGCCTTCTCCAAGCACCTCAAGCTTCTTGTAGTCGGAGATGCTCCCGAACGCGTATCGGGGCTTCTTGCTGCCATGGACGCCCGGTTCCTGTCCCGCCGCCGGGCGCTTGCGGATGGCCGTCGACATGATCTGAGCTTAGAACGCGCGCGGGGAGCAGATCAGAGCAGAGGGGCGGCGATTCGTGTGCGTTGGGAGCAGAGGAGATCGAGGATGGGAGGAAGGAGAGGCAGATCAGAACAATGAACAATGAGGATCGAGGCCTTTTATGGGCAGCGCGCGTGTCCGAATTGGCGGGGGATTCAGACAGATTGCGTACGCGTCGCGTTTACGCGGGTGACGCTCGCACTCGCAGGGACATCTCACTTTGAAATCGCTTCGTCACACGCAAGCCATCTCGTACGGGTTTTCTTTTCGATTCATCCGGCCGTTCATCTTTTTCTTTTCTTTTTTACTTTTCGCATTTTCTCTCTCCTTTTTGTTCCCTTGTATTTATTTTTAAGTTTTCTATTGTAACAAAAAATACAAGATTTATAGAAAATGTGGAAACACTTCTTAAAAGTCATATGCATATTTCTGTTCTGTAATATCCATGAACACTTATTTTCCATCAAGTCAAGGTTTTTTAAACGTGTGAACACTTCTTTTTCGCTTTTCTATATGAAAAATTGAAAATATATTAATATTATTTAAATGTGTGAACACCTTTTATAATACATGAAAATTTATTATAAAGGCATGAACACTTTCTAAAATTACATAAAGATTTTTTAAATGCATGGGCACTTCTTTTAGTTATACAAACATTTTTTTAAATACATGATGCATAAAATCAATACATGATAAATATTTTTAATTTACACTATGAACATTTTTTTAAAAACTTGATAAATATTTTTTGAATGCATGCGTGAACATTTTTAACACACAATAAAACATTTTTTCCTGAAATACACGATGAATATTTTCTTAGTACATGATGACCATTTTTTAGTACTAGATGAAAAAGTACATTGTAAAAAAGTAATGTATTTTACAATAATATAGTTTGTAGAACATTTCGGAAATATATACAAAAAGGCCGAATGAAAAAACAAAGAGGAAAGAAACAGCAAATTATACATAGCATAGCATGTATCTGTAGGTGGTAATGATGAGGCGCTCTCCATGTGCTTGGCCCAACACCTCTCTTGTCGACGAAGTGAGCAAGACGCTCACTAGAAGCGAGTTAGGCCATCTCCAACATGGCGCTTATGGTGCTTGGGATAAAAATGATAGCTATTCCACCTAAAATCACTCAAATCCCAGGATTTGGTACAGCGTTGCTGGATCTTTTGGTGTCCGGGCACTTGAGCAATCTATATATACAAAGCCCATCCGAGAATGGCCTAAACGCCTCTAAAAAGGCTATTAGCATTGCTGTATTGATGGGTTCTCGACTAGACGGTTGGTTGTTTGTTTCCTGCCCATGTAAGGGGCGCGACTATGTGCCTCATACAGCGAACTGCAAATCTACCTCGCCTACAACACTATAATAAATGGGCCGGCCCAAGAAATGCAACTTGTCCGTTTGCTTTCATTCAATTGTTCGTTTATTTTGATTTCATTTTTTTCCTTTTTAGACTTTTATTTATATTTTGAAATATCCTAACATATACAATTTGTATGTGAATTGTTTATGCATTGTTTACAAAATGGTTATGCAGTTTTAAGAAAATGATGACGCAACTTTTAAGTTGACTAGTAAATGCGCACGTGCAACGCACGTTAATATTTAGGCAATATATTAATTACACGCGATATTAGGTATGTTATTATTTGTGTGTTAATTCTATGATTAGTGCAATATTTGGTATGATATTAATTGCATGTTAAACACGTTTAACGCTCGCCATTGGAGCAGTCTAGGTCGTTGGATTGACTTAGTTCTACGGCCGAGATCAGTTGGATCTGCCCCTTTGGGTCTTTTTATATTGGTATAGATGACATTCATAAAATATATGCACTGAAATAATGTTCACTCATTTCATTTACAATGTTTGTGACATCTTAAAAATGCTTGCATAATTCAAATATTCATCAGAACCAGATCAAATATTCACAATGAGGCTGATCGTCAAAATCACCTCAACTTCTGTCATCAATTGAAGTTCTTCACATGACAATTGCATCAATTCCTGGTAAGGGCAAGTCTTTGATTGCTAAAGGCAGTCGTCCACTTGATGGTCAACTTTGTCAGCCCGCGTCGCAAACAGCAGGTGCACAAACTCCACCTAAAGGATCTCCAGCTGAAGCTCCTCTGGCCATGTATGATCGAGAACTATTATTAGTCTGCACCAGAAGGTTGACCATAATAATCACAAACGGGTTCAACGTCAAATTCATGAAATTCTTCACTTCATGATTGTCGTTCAGAATTTTGTGAAGACAATCACTACTATTCCCATGAAAATTTTGGCCGCCACCTGGGCCATTCTAAGTCATCTGAAGTCAGATAAAAAGCTTCGTGATCTTGGCTTTCAATAGGACTATGACTGGTCATTCTCTCCATCGAAGAAATTCAAGCGCTGCCACATCCTTTAGTTGGTGACAGATTCGTTTTCTTCATCATGCAAGACTGATGAAGCTAAAGTCAACGACACTACATCAAGACCTACTTCGACAAACAACCCCGACAACAACGATCCACCTACTTCATCGACATAGACTCTTGGATCGTGAGGGAATCTCCAATGCTGACCCCAAACCAGACACCGTATCTGTCCGCAAACACAGATGCTAGAGCCGACCATCCAACGATATTCACTAAATGTCCGCCAGTACGATCAATCTGAAATTCAAATCCAGCCGATCACATTGTGCGCGCTGGATCACAGCAGCGTTAGATCACAACTAAAAAGCGCAGGTGATACGTCTCCAACGTATCTACTTTTCCTACACTTTTCCTCTTGTTTTGAACTCTAATTTGCATGATTTGAATGAAACTAACTCCGGACTGACGCTGTTTTCAGCAAAACTATCATGGTGATGTTTTTGTGGAGAAATAAAAGTTCTCGGAATGGAACGAAACTTTGCGAGGAATTTTTATAAAATAAACAAGAATTTCTGGAGCCAAGACCCACCGGAGGGGGGGCACCTGGGTGGGCACAACCCACCACGGCACGCCCCCCTCCTAGCGCGCCCAGGTGGGTTGTCCCCACCTGGTGGCCCCGCAGACCCCGATTCCAACTCCATAAATACCTATTTTTCCAAAAAATATCAGGGAGAAATAATTATCGCGATCCATGAGACGGAGCCGCCGTCACCTCCCGTTCTTCATCGGGAGGCCAGATCTGGAGTCCGTTTAGGGCTCCGGAGAGGGGGATCTTCGTTCTTCGTCATCACCAACCCTTCTCCATCACCAATTCCATGATGCTCCCCACAGGGAGTTAGTAATTCCTTCATAGGCTCGCTTGTCGGTGAGGAGTTGGATGAGATTCATCATGTAATCGAGTTAGTTTTGTTACGGCATGATCCCTAGTATCCACTGTGTTCTAAGATTGATATTGCTATGACTTTGCCATGCTTAATGCTTGTCACTTTGGGACCGGGTGCCACGATTTTAGATCTGAACCGTTTATGTTATCACCATCATATCCATGTTCTAGATCCGATGCAAGTTATAGTCACCTACTACGTGTTATGATCCGGCAACCCCGGAGTGACAATAGTCGGGACCACTCCCGGTGATGATCGTAGTTTGAGGAGTTCATGTATTCACAGTGTATTAATGCTTTGTTCTGGTTCTCTATTAAAAGGAGGCCTTAATATCCCTTACTTTCCAATAGGACCCTGCTGCCATGGGAGGGTAGGACAAAAGATGTCATGCAAGTTTTTTCCATAAGCACGTATGACTATTTACGGAATACATGCCTACATTATATTGATGAATTGGAGCTAGTGCCGTATCGCCCTGGGTTATAACTGTCTCATGATGAATATCACCCAACAAGTCACTGATCCAATGCCTACGAATTTATCCTATATTGTTCTTGCTAAGTTACTACTGCTGTTGTTACTGTTACACTTGTTACAAAACTATTGATGTCACTATTACCGTTACCATTGCTACTGCTACTGTTATCAAAACTATCATATTACTTTGCTACTGATCATGTTGCTGTAGATAATTAATCTCCAGGTGTGGTTGAATTGACAACTCGGCTGCTAATACCTTCAAATATTCTTTGGCTCCCCTTGTGTCGAATCTATAAATTTGGGTTGAATACTCTACCCTCAAAAACTGTTGCGATCCCCTATAGTTGTGGGTTATCAAGACCTTTTTCTGGCGCCGTTGCCGGGGAGCATATCTATATTTGTTGAGTCACTTGGGATTATTACCAATTTATCACTATGAAGAATCTGAAGGATGCTAAGACTAAGATTTTTCCCTCTAAGACGAGGGGAGGTAAGGAACTGCCATCCAGTTCTGCTTTAGATTCACCTTCTATTATAAGTAAACTTGCAACACCACCACATGCTATTAATTCTGGTATGTCGCAAGTTACTGATGATGCTACTTCTGCTATGGATAATGCTTATGTTGATGCTAGTACCTTGCTTGATAATGATGGTGTGCCACTTAATGAATTTCTTGATAGACAAATTGCTAGAGTAATACAACGTGATGTTGTTGAATCTGATGATGAGCTTGAAACTGAATCTCCTGAAACACCTGCTAGAACTAGCCTTCCTAGATATGAATTGCCTAAGGTACCGGAAGGTTATGTTATGAATGAGGAGACAACTAGAGATATTCTTGCTTGTAAGGATAGAGATGATCTAGAGAAATTATTATGCAAGTATAAAGAAAAATCTTTGAATGCTAGAATGCAATATGATTCTAAGTTTGCTACTTCACCTATCTTTATTGATGATAAGGATTATGAATTCTCTGTCGACCCAGAGTTAATTACTTTGGTTGAATCTGATCCTTTCCATGGTTATGAAACTGAAACTGTTGTGGCACATCTTACTAAGTTGAATGACATAGCCACCTTTTTTACTCATGATGAGAAGACTCGTTACTACCTTATTCTCAAATTATTTATGTTCACATTAAAGGGTGATGCTAAAGCTTGGTACAATAT